GAGGAGGAGGAAAAGAATAAGAAGAGGAAGAGGAAGAAGAAAAGAAGAGGAAGAGGAACAACAAGAAGAAGAGTGCTAAAATTGGGCCCAGTGACATGGTGACTCTCCTTACAATTGGCACGACTTATGACCATAATTCTGGCCTCAATTATGCTTATAAGTCAAGGATTCCCTGTATGGAAGTGATTTGCCTTCAACTTCTGGAATATTTCTTTAACCGCATCCTGAGATTTCTTAGTAGTTTCTCTTTTTGACCTGCCAGGGTCAGAGAAATGCTACATCCTGACAATGTCAACGAGTTTAAATATTGATGTGGAGACAAGCAACTGGGTTTGTTGGAATAATTTGGACTTCTCTATGTTCTGACCAGTATTCAAAATAACCGACCAGCCAACAGTGTACCTAAACAAAATCAGAATCACTTTAATAGATTAAGAGTTGGAAGGGACCTTGTAGGTCATCTAGTCCAACCGCCTTCCCAAGCAGGAGATCCTACACTATTTCCGACAGACGGCAGTTAATAGTTCGTTACATTTATACATCCTACCCTACCTCCCCTCCCAAACTCCCAGGAACCCTGGGTGGTTTGTGGCCTTGATTCCTCCCCTATCCACTTCTTCACATGTCACAGATATAATCTAAAGTGTTGGCTTCGAATCTCAACCTGGAACTTTCTGTCTTTCTTTTTCCTTGCAGTATTCAAAAAACGCCGGAAGCGTCGAAAGGGCTGGAGCACAGCTATGGGGCCCAATCAGCTCCTGAGCTCCTGCGAGACTATCACAGCGGGCAAAGGTGCGACTGCTCTCATGTTGGGGCTGGGCCATTTTTAACCTGGGATGAAATTTTCTCCTAAAAGTCAGCGCCAGGATGATTCATTTTCAGGCTAGCAAGAAAAAGTGACAAAAGTTGAGGGTGCAAATCAGCAATTTTCTTTTCCTTGAGCCCCTTTATCTCAGTTGTCTAAAGAATAAGCTCTGGCTTAGCTCATCTACTCAGAAGCATTCCCCAGTCTCACTAAATTTGAAGTAAAATGGTTTTAACAAGATCACAGATGTACATTCCGATTTCCTACATTTAATTTGACATATATTAAGCAGCAAATCGCCTATTTTAATTTTAATGTTTATAATTTTTATAAGCTGAAGGTGAGGAAGATACTCCTTCCTCCTCCTATTTTCTTTGTAACAACAGCCCTTTGAGGTAAGTTGGGGGCTGAGAGGGAGTGACTGGCCCAAGCCAGCTTTCCATGCCGGCAGGTAGGACTAGAACTTACAGTCTCCTGGTTTCTAGGCCAGTACCTTAAACACTAGAACAAACTGGCCTTTCTTTCTTTCTTTCTTTCTTTCTTTCTTTCTTTCTTTCTTTCTTTCTTTCTTTCTTTCTTTCTTTCTTTCTTTCTTTCTAGATT